TAAAATCCGGTACTTTGAGTCTGTATTTTTCAATATTTTGTAACAAATATTGTTTCTGTGTTTCATCTTTAATTAATTGTTTGAAAAGTCTGTAATAAATTTCATGGTCCTTTCAGCAAAAATATTAACAACTTTGGCATGATAAAAAAATATATCTGCTTCTTGAAAATCATCACTTGTTTTCCACTGGTTTGGCGGCAAGTTTAACCAGGCAGTTTCACTTCCGAGTCGATTGAACAGAAACCAAGACTTCTTGCCTTTTAAATGTATAATTTGTTGATAAAACAACTGTGACAAAAATGGAACTCCTTTATCCAGTGGCATGTATTTTTTTACTTTATTAAGTTGTCTATTTATTTTTTTTCCGATTCTTGCGTCAAACTTGAAAAAGGAGAAAGAGTTGCAGTTTTTTTGTTAAATACTAAAGATGTCTGTTCAGTGCAAAATTGATCGCTTTACTAATTTCTGGGTCAGGTTTCTTAAACATGTGAATATCATTTCATAACTAAAGATCATTTGATAGTGCACCGATTGAAAAATGGGTGTTTACCCACCCCAGTACGTAGAAGAGTGCATTAAATATAAAAATACAACGCAGTTTTTCCATTTTATCTCAATCATAACTCATTATAACAGTTACTCTCTAGCAGACATGATGGTATGCGCCAGGTTTTAATTAATGCACCCCACGAAAAAGCGTTTTTCCCAAAGTTATTGGTGTGAGTTCAGTATATTTTCTGCAACTATTACGAGGCATGTTGTCACCATTTGCTAAAGTCAATATTTATTGCAAACAATTAACAACTTTGACTTTCTGTAGTTTTAAGGGATCGGAGATTGATCAAAGCTCAAAACTTTGCGACAATATTTGTCGCAAATTTCTGTGTCTTGATCAATCGCCGATGGTTTCCGTGAGATTTTTTAAATTCTTTAAACTCAGGAATTTCAGGTCTGATTTTTGGACCATAAATCTTTTGCCAGGCAAAACATAAAATTTATTCCACTACATGATGTCGACAAGAAAAATAAAAAGTTTATTTTCTAGCAGCGATTCCAACTGTGCGTATGCATAGTTTTTCCACATATAATTAGATGCTGTGATATCAAAAGCAAGTCCAACAACTGATTGTTCTACCTTGTTGTACCACCGAACTACAACAGAATGCCTGGTGTTATCCATAGTTTCACCAGTTACATTAGAGATTACTGGAACTTTAAGTAGTAACCTTCTCTACTTCTGGAATAATTTTTCAATCCCTATGTAATGTAAAATATTTTGGGAAACTAAATTTAATTTTAATCTCATCCCCATATTCTACTTAAAGTTTTTTAGAAGTTGTTCTACGGCTTGTTTTTGATAAAACAACTCATTTTAAATAAGCATCACCCTCTGATATTATAGCTGCATGTAAGCTTTTTTTTTTACCAGGTGATAAATTCAAACCATTTGCAATTGCTAAAACTTTTTCACTTTTGAATGGATTTTTATAGGTTGGATGATTTTTAGTTTCGTAGCAGATTCAGGTGGGTTTTCAAAATCTTCACCTTCAGAATTGTCTGAAATGCATGTAACACTAGAGTCACCTGCAGATTTCAAGTCTATTTCAGGACTTTAAGTTTTAGGTTAGCGCTCTTTGTCGCTATTCTTCAAATAATTTAAAACCATTTTTCATGTTAATTCAATTCTTTCTTTTTGTGTAACTTTTCTTTTGTATGCTTGGTCTTCTGATTCTAAAATAACTCGCTTTTTATATCTAAATGCTGCGAAAAAATTTAATGCCTTTTTTTTTCTGTTAGCTATCACAAATCCAATCAGTTTCTTTTTAGTTTTGAGTATCTTTGTTACCAATATAAAAATAATTTTTCACATCATTAAGAAACAGTTTTTCTTTAGCTTCATTGGATTAACATCCTTTTTTCTTTTGAAAACAATCAGTAATGTTTGATATATATTGCTATTTTTATCACTAATATAACTTATTAATTGTTTTTATTTATACAATAATTTATATTGTATTCATATTATAATTATTTTGTATCATTTATGTCATGGTTGCGAAAAGTTTTTGTCATATTTACGTAACAAATATTTTTTCACAATATTAATTTTTTGGGAGCTGGTGGCAAGGCTTAAATACTACTAAATTGCTTGAAGTTTGTTAACTTATTTTGAAATAGATAAAATGATGGGAAAATCAACAGGGAGCAAGATTTTGTGAAAAAATATTAACGCTACAATTTTCCATAGCACCTTTCCTATGGTTTACAAAATGGTTATTCACTAAGTTTAACAAATCTTCTTTTAAGTTTGACATTTTTTTTACTGTAGTAAAAATGTTTTAATGTATTTTTTAACATTTATAGTGTACCACGGAGAGCAATTAAATCAAAATGATTGAGTTGTTTTGAGACTCACTGATGTGAACAACATAATAAAAAGACCGATTAAAGAGATTTTCAATCAGAAATCTGAAAATCTATTTGCACTCATACTAATGATACATTTTTAAAAACCACACCTGTCACAATCTGTGCATAGAATGATAAATCATGGTGCTTCTTTGATAAGGCATTTTAATTTCCTCTGATAGGCTGTTTTTCTGAAAGTGCCATTGGAGCCGGAAAAAAGGAAAATAAAACTGCACGAGTTGATGATGCACGTCTAACTTTCTTTGCAGAAAACACTTGGGATACAGCTAATTATTTGTTTTTGACACCTGATATGTATCTCTATTGCAAAGAGAAAAAAAATAGATGAAAAAGACTGAAGACAAAACAGTTTTAAAAAGCAAAGTGACAAATTTTCCGAATAGGAAAACTGTCACTAGTCAGGATGAACCAAAACAAAGTAGAACATATTGTTTTTTATAAACAACGAATAGCTTAGTTGTCACACTGAAGGTTGATTGTCAAACTGTAGCTTTATTGTCACATTGTAGGTTGGTTGTCATATTTTTCATAGTCTAAACTGCTTTCATTGCAAGTAGTAGAGAGAGGAAAGTTCTGACTTATTTTCATTTTCAACGATGAAGACAACCTTAATTTCAATTTTATTTTAGATTCATTTACAACTGATAAAATTTAAATTAAAAATTTAAATTTTTTATTCTAGGTTCATCGCTATATAAAATTTTCAACCACCTAATTTTATTACTTCAAATCAATTACAAATATTCACGTGATTTAAATCTGCGCATGCGTCAATTTATTTGCTTGTAGATAAAGTCTTTGTTACAGTGGTATTTGTATTAGCATTTGCAGATGTAGCTGTTATGCATACGTTTACATTTATATTTGAGTTGTGCCTCTTTTTAATAGTAAAAAAATTATTTATAGACTTTTCAATTTTTTATTATCAACCCATGAGTTAAAAGTCTCAGGATACCCATACCTCTTTACTAATGATTTGTTTCTTATGGATCCTATGGATCTAAACATAATAGTAGCATTGTCCTAGCAATACTCTATGGGTCTCTTATAGCATATAATTCTAGTTCAGTTGCAGTTATTAAAGTCGCTGAATTATTTTCAATGTAATTATTATATACAGGAAAACAAAAGATAGATCCAACTGTAAAACTGTTACTTAAGCATACAGACGCCCAATACCATTACCTG